TCTATTGAGTTAATGGTGGGTTACAGCATAAAATCAAGTTTAGCAAATGAGAATAAAATGAATTTCTTTCCAAACAAACTTATCACTGGGAAAAAAAATAGACCCATCCAGGGAACGACACTTGGCTTATTTGTCAGCGAATCCACTAGTGTTTGTATTCTTTATTTTCTCATTTATTCTTAATGAACTTAACACAGAATATAATAGTTATGAATCTTAACACTAGAATATAATAGTTACATTCTGTTATTAGATTTTAAGGCAGCTGATTTTGTGGTTGTTATTGAATTGTCTCAGCTATAAGAGGGAAGAAAGTTGATCCAAGTTAATGAAGGCAATAATTATGACCTAATTCTAGGTTCCATTTGATAAATTTGGAAGTTTCACAACATTGTCAGAATTCATGGGAAACGATCATCTATAGCCCTAACAACCAATATGAAGTAATGACTAAAGCATGAGAATAGGTATTAAATCCATCTGTTCTAAATAAAGAGGTAACATAAATCTGTCCTGTAAATGGTATTGGTTTAATTATGGTTCTTATGGTTAACCGTGAAGAAGGAAACATTATACGCACGTGGCTCACGATTAGCCATTAATTTCCAACATACATAGATGTTGCTTGCCTTAAATTAGTACATACTTCAACTTACACTGTAGACTTGTGTGCATATATATACATACATATATAATACATATGAAATCATGCTTATGCTTTTAATCCATTAATACAAGCGTCTTCATTTCCCACCCATATTTCATATTTATGGTTTCCTTGTCCCAAAGTGAGAATCCTTGCTTCCTAACATTATCAATACATTTACTCATTATATAAGGCTTAAAATATACATAAAATACTTTTGGAATTATTTAATTACTACACTGTTACCTAAGTGCTAATTTGTTCTATTGAAAATCCACTCAGGTGGGTCAAAGAAATGTAATTAGTCTCATAGTGGATAACAAATTATTTTTACCCCATGTCTGGCCCTTTAAGACTCCATATTTCCTACTTATAAAATTAGTTTAGATTAAAATATATTCTAACATTTATATAAAATATATTATTTATTTACTTTTAAGTCATAGGTTTAAATGTTTCTGAAATTGTTCAGCTGAGAATTTTGTCACTATTTTCAACTTCTTTTAGAAAAAAATGCCCTAACTAGAGCATTTGAGAGTTTCCCACTCCCCCATTTGTTGTTTCTATTATTGTCTCCAAAATTCAAGTAGTTTTAGAGTTTTAATACTGATGACATTTACTGTAAGAGTCATTTTTATAACTATATGAATATTTAGGATCTCCTCTAATTTTCTTTCTTATATACCTCTTAAGCCTGAACAAAAACTTTCTATTTTTAATAGCTTATATATTTTGAAACACTGAGTCACATCTGCAGTTGTAAACTTTAATACTATTTTAGAAGTCTGTTGTTCTATCTACCTTTTTAGGCATTTGAGTTTTCTTATTTATATTGGCAGAAACAGGATGCTTTTAGGGGCAAGAAGACTTTCTTGGGCAGCTCAGTTTATTGCAGCTGCTCTTGATCTCACACCTGTTGCTCTCAATGACAATGCCTCTTATTGTTCAACGTGAGCACGTGCGTATAATGTTTCCTTCTTCCACGGTAACATAAGAAGCCATAATATAAACCAATACCATTTACAGGACAGATTTATGTTACACTCTTATTTTAAACAGATGGATTTAATACCCTTATTATTCATGCTTAGTCATTTTCATATTGGTTGTTCAGGCTATAGATGTCTTTCCATGAAATCTGACAAGTGTTTGGAAACTTCCAATTTAATCAAATGGAACCTAGATTAGGGTCATAATTATTGCCTTATTAAACTTTGATCAATTTCTTCCTCTTATAACTGAAGACAATTCAATTAACAACCACAAATTCAGTGCCTAAATCTTAAAACAGAAATGGTAACTATTATATTCTGTGTTAAGATTCATAACTATTATATTCTGTGTTAAGATTCATATAAGAATAAATGAGAAAATATAAGAATACCAAACACTAAGTGGATTGGCTAACAAATAAAGCCAAGTGTGCTCCCTGGATGGGTCTATTTTTTTTCCCAGTGATAAGTTTGTTTGGGAAAGAAATTCATTTTATTCTCAATTTGCTAAACTTGATTTTATGCTGTAACCCACACATCTGAACATACAATAAGACTCAGGTTATATAGCAGTCACTTATTTCAAAAGACAGGAAGAGTGGTGTTAAACTAACTGTGGGAAAGAGGTTATCATGAAATTAGACAATCAGCTGGAATTCTGACTTCATAGCCTCTAGAAATATGTACCTATCTTTCCATGATATTTTGATAAAAATAACAACACCAGAATGAGGTATTTCATTACCTCTTTCTCCTGTTTTTTCTTGCTCTCTGTCAAAGAATCTCTACCTACAGAGCAACTTGAGAGTTCCTCATCTGAAGTTGATGATTAAGACTAAGCAGAATCTTAATCATCACTGTAAAATCGGGTAAAAATATACAGACTAAGTAATAAGCAAACCATAAATTTTTTGGTATTTTCAACTCTCTAATAGTGTACATACTAATCTTGGAAAAATTTAAAAGAAATAAGAGTTTTCCTCCTAGAATTCTAATTACCTACCACTTCCTAAATATAATCATACCTTTTATCTTCCAGAAACAAATCAGAGCAGTACTTCCAGCTAAGCTTCCTTGAATATGTTTGGCTAACAGGATAGAGCTTCCTTAGTATTTCTTTTAGTAAAATATAGTCCGTGAATGTTTCAGTAAATATTTCTAAATACCTATATATACAGATACTTTTTAAATACCTATTTGATAACAAGGTGTGTCAGAAGAAATGCTTGGATAAATTTAAACCTATTTGTACATTATTTTCTGTAGTAGGAGAGAGATATCACTGGAGATTCTGCATTTTCATATGCTCCTTTAAAAACAAACATCTCTCTCCAAAGCCTCCTCCTGAGGTCCAAAATCCCAAAGCCCTCCAATTTGTGTTTTCTGAGTTTTGGGTCTCAGTACAAAGTACTTTTTAAACTTTATCAATACCATTTTCCTTATCTACCACCAGGTGGCAGGTGGATCCACTTTTCCGAGCACGACCCTGACCCCGCCCTACCGGAAGCTGTCATGTAAAGGAAATCTCTCTGGCCACGCCTAGAGTTCAGCACCATGGACGCGGACAGCGACACCGCCCATTCTAGTCTCATGACTTGCTGCAGAGTTTCACCTGACAAAGGAAATGGCCAATCCCCAGTTGGTTCCAAGGGCTGCGTGACGGACTAATTTACAATGCCAGGAGTGGAGGGGGTGAGAAACCCCCTGATTTGGGACATTTAGATTTGTTGGGGAACCAGCTGACATTAAATAATATCCCATATTGCAAAATGCTGTGTTTTTTTCTCTCACTACCCTACAAAATCTACGTGACTTGTAAATGCTGTCTTGTTGTGGGACAGGAATTAAATTACCCAACCTCCGTGCATTGGTTTATTCCAACAAAATGAGTAAGACAGCAAAGGCGGTACAAAAGTCTGTGTGAGTTATGGCGGCCAATAGCTTGGCTTGCACACAGCTGCCTGTCAGCTTTCCTGAGATGCCAGCTTAGAAAAGCATGGACTGCTTTTTCGCGTTTTCCATGTCTTCTTGTTAGCAGGAAATTACTGTTTCAGGCAGACTGATTGGAATGAAGCATAAGTGTGTTCTAGAAGAGACGGTTTAAATGTCATTTTTCCAGTTGCCTAGCGACTAATTAGACAAAAAGCATGTTTGAGAATTTTAATTCACGTTTTAGAACAGCAAAAACCCAAGGGCAAACGAAAATGGGTTCAGGATAGCATAATATATTACCAGGGACTAGGGTTTAGAATCTGAGTCTAATTAAATATCAATGCTGGAGAAGTAGGTAAGGCTAAAGATGAACAGTGGCTATTTAAGGTTGATGGATCAAATTTAGCCGAGTTTTGGTTGTAATTTATCCGTATTGTATGGATTGCTCTCTTTTTCCCCCGACTCTTGTTTTGGCAACGATAGATTAAGATCTTTAACCAGCAGAGGGCGAGTCGACTGCATTTTTTGCCCCATAGACACTCCCTCTTCCTCCCTCCCCCCTCTACCCCTGGGAAATTAATTTACTAGGCTCTTCAAATATAGACCAAGCCGAGGAAGGTGTGGTGGAAGGAGCAGCGCGCAGAGCTTGGCAGAGTGCCCACTCTGTCAGCCTCGGATGTATGGCTGCACTGCACTCCTAACGACGTGTGTTTCCTTGCTTAGGGCTGCAGAGGGGATTGCAGTGGTTGTTGTAGGACGAGGCAGGAGTGGAAAGCAACCCTACCCCCAGAAGCCGAAGATATCTGGGGTCACTAACTTCAGAAAACTGAGAGGGCCAGAGGTAGCCTAGTAAGACAACGAAGGTAAACTATAAAGGTTTGAAACAGGAAAGAAGCAGTTTACTTCCCAGGCCAAAAACTCAGTGTTCTCCAACAACCAAAACAAGGCTCTGCTCTGGCTTTGCCACTCTAAGAACAAAAATTGGAGGGTGGGGAGTAGGCACAGTCAGGAGATAAGAGCAAAGACTAAATATTGGCTGAGTTATCTAAAGAAGAGAACAAGCAAAGCAAGCCAGCTCAAGGGGAAAGACAATGACAGGAAAGCCTGCCAGAATGCAGGGCAGAGCAATAAAGCATGCTATACAAAGTTAATTTATTGTTGGGCGGAGCCTTCCTCATTCTAGAGGAGCATACCACTTGCTTCAGAGGGGTGGTTTACCTTGTATCGCAAGATTTTGCAGAATCTCCCTGGGCAGGCAGCCAGAACTCCCATTAATTGGACATGCCTCTTCGCCTCCACATATTTATGTCTCAGAATTCATCTAATTCAGTATCAAACTAGCAAAATTAATTTTTTCTGAATGCCATTAAACTAAATTTTATGCAGCATTGCATTTTCTCTCTCTCATTAAATATCTGTAAAGCCTGTGTTTAAAGGACACCATTTCATTAATAAATTCAATTCATAGGAGAATATGATACTCTCTTAAAGTTGGTATTGGGTAGGATAACAGTAAGATATCTTAACAGGATAGATTGACACTTTTCAGAAAGCATGATTTGACTTGCAGTTTCATGACTAATTTTACAGATAAATTGCACTTTGATGGTGTTGTAAAGCAGCCTCTATTTCTGTAGCATTCCCTCTGTAAAAGAGCACTTGTAAATTTTCTATGCATATGCCAAACTTCATTCATGTTGCACCAAGATCCAAACAAGTGCTTAAAATTGACTAATATAATCTCCCCCACAGAAACCAGAATTGTCTTTTTAAAAACTAAGTACTAAGTCATTGAACCAGCACTTAATGAAACAGAATATACAAATAGCTAATGAGCATGTGAAAAGGTTTTCAACATCATTGATTGCTAAAGAAATGGAAATCTAAACCACAATGAAATGCCTTTACTCACCCAAGAGAATAGCTAAATTAATTAATTAATTAATAATAAAAGCTGCTATTTTCAAGTATTGGAAACAATGGGGCAACTCCAACTATCACACACTGCTAGAAGAGTGTAAATCAGTACAATCATTCTGGCAACATTTACTATTAAAGTTCAATATAAGCATACCCTATGACTCAGTAATTGTACTCCTAGGTATATACTCAATAGAAATGCATACATATTTGTACAAAAAGGCATGAACAAGAAAGCTCATCATAGCTCAAATCTGGAAGCAATCCAAATTTACCTCAACAGGAAAATGGATAAATTTATTGTTATCACCATATGCAGAAATATGTACACAATGACATGTTTTAAAAACTACTACATGCAACAATATGTATAAATCTCACAAACATGATATATTTAGCAGCAAAAAAATTAGAAACAAAAAAATTTTGTTGATTCTATTAATATAAAGCTCAATAATTGGAAAAAAACTACTCTAAGATGATAACAGTAAGAAGAGCGGTTACTTGGTAGAGACAAAGACTGGAAAGGAGCATAAGGGGAGGCTTCTGGGAATCAGTAATATTCTATTTCTGGATCTGGGTGTTATTTACATGGATGTGTTCACTGTAAAAATCTATTAAGCTTTACACTATGATTTGTGCATGTTAAGTATGTTATATTGCAATAAAATACTTTTTAAAAGTATAAGACAGATTGTGCCATTTCTGTGTTTAAAACAATTCAATGTCTTCCCATTGCACTGTGAACAAAATTTAAATTCTTCAATATGGCCTACAAGGCCCTGCATAAAATAATCCTATCTAAATTTCTCATCTCTTATTAACTATAATACCTCCTCCCTCGGTCACCATGCTTGTGTTACTCTGACCTTCCAACAGTTTCTGGAACATAATCAATTGCTTCTCCGTTTGGGGGCCCTTGAGCTTGCTGTTTGCTCTACGTGGAGTGCATTATCACCAGCTCTTTGTGTGACGTGTTCTTTTAATCCTTCAACTCAGATTAATGACACCTCTTGAAAGATTTCCTTAACTCTCCTATCTAAAGTCTCTGTTATTTTTCTACTTGCTACTGTAACGAATTACCACAATGGCTTTAAACAAATCAAATTTACTAACTAACACCTTTGAAGGTCAAAAGTCTGAAATCTCACTGGGCTAAAATCAAGGTACTAGCAGGAGTGCTTTTATTCTAGACACTCTAGGGCAGAATCAGTTTCCTTGCCTATCTTCCAGCTTTTACAGTTTGTATATTTGGGATTGTGGCTTCTTCTTCCATCTTCAAAGCCAGCAGTGTATCATGCTCAAATCTCTCTGACGCTGACACTCTCTCTCAAAAGACTGTCTCTCTCTTCCACTTTTAAGGAGCCTGGTGATAACATTAGATCCGTGCAGATAATCCAGGATAATCTCCCGATCTCAAGGTTAGCTGATTAGCATTGTTAATTTCCCCTTGCTATGTCATATAACATATTCACAGGATTTGGGGACTAGGATGTAGACATCTTTGAGGGGGAGAATTATTCTGTCTACTCGAGTCCTCCTCTTTTCTTGAGTACAGCATCATGATTATTTCCATAAGAGCACTAATAGCAATTTTAAGTCATTTCATATATTTGTTTAATTTTTAAGTAACTGCTCTACTCTAGTATAAATTCTAATGAGAGCACAGACCCTATCTATCCTGTTCTTTTCTGTTTCCCCAGTGCTTAGCATAATGCCTGACACACTGTAGGAGTTCAATAAGTATTTGTGGAAAGAATAAATAAATTATTATAGACTTAGCCTATGTTTTGACACTTAACAGCTCTGTTTGGTTTTTATCTTTTCAGCTATTATAAAAACATATATTATATCTTGGAAGTAGGGAAATTTCTGGAGGAATCACAGCATAGATTTTTTTCAAGTTCTCTATCATATTAACTCACTGTAAAAAATCATGTCTACAGATAGAGGCCCATATATGTCACATACCTATCTTCATCTTTTTATTGGATTTAAAAGGATACCTTATAGATTGCTGCCTCATGGAAAACAGCATATCACAGGACTCATGCATCTGGAGAAAAGATAATCTAGGATAAAAACTTGGGATCTTAGGCCAGGCAAGGTGGCTCACACTAGCCTCCTAGCACTCTGGGAGGCTGCGGTGGGCCTCAAGGTCAGAAGTTCAAGGCCAGCCTGAACAAGAGGGAGACCCTGTCTCTACTAAAAAAAAAAAAAATAGAAAGAAATTGACTAACTAAAAATATATATTAAAAAATTAGCCGGGCATGGTGGCGCATGCCTGTAGTCCCAGCTACTCAGGAGGCTGAGGCAGTAGGATTGCTTGAGCCCAGGAGTTTGAGGTTGCTGTGAGCTAGGGGGATGCCATGGCACTCTAGCCCAGGCAACAGAGTGAGACTCTGTCTCAAAAAAAAAAAAAAAAAAAGTTGGAATGCTTTGTCACAGTCACATGAGGAAAAATATGGTGAATGGGACTCTAAGTATAATCCTATGGTACAGCTACAAAATAAGTGTCATCAGATAATCACTGTTAATCTCTATTTTACCAGTTCGTATTACCAGATACCAATGGGTTTTTTTCCCAATAGTTGGTGATTTATTCATGCATTCAGCAAATACTTATTGAGCATCTATGAAGCATCAGGCACTCGTCTAGGCTCTGAGTACATAGTATGAATAGTACAAAGTGCCTGCCTCTAGAGAGCCTACGAGTAAATGCACAATACTATATGAAATAGTGGCAAGTGTTATAAAGGAGAAAGGGAAGATAGGAACTAACTACTGATACATATAATAATTTGCATGAATCTCAAAGCATTATGCTAAACATGTCTGGCTCCATGTACACAGGGATCGAAATCAAATCAGTGGTTAGCAAGGGCTGCAGGTGAGGTGAGGGATTAAATACAGAGAGC